TATCGATCTCAGTGTCCGTGTTACTGGTGGTATGTTCAGGAAGTGGTCTCCTGTACTAATTCCTTCAAGGATACCTCCCACTTTCTCTTCTAACAGATTCGGTGTAACTGGATGTATGTTGATGTTTTTTATTCATTTAGACTTAAGTTCTTTACATGGTGATAGACATGGATCTATCTGCAGTCTTCTAAATGCCAGCATCCAGTTATGCCAGCACCATTTGGTGAAGATGCTTTCTTTTTTCATTGTATAGTTTTAGCTTCTTTGGCAAAAATTGGGTGTTTGTAGGTGTGTGGGTTAATATCAGGGTTTTCAATTCGATTCTGTTGGTCTACCTGTCTATTTTTGTGCCAATACCAAGCTGTTTCAGGACTAAAGCTTTATAATAGAGCTTTAAGTCAGGGATGGTGATGCCTCCGAATGTTCCTTTATTGTACAGTATTGTTTTGACTATCCTGGGCCTTTTGTTTTTCCATATAAAGTTGAGAATTATTCTTTCAAGGTTTGTGAAGAATTGTTCTGGGATTTTGGAGATTCCTTTTGGCAGGATTGCCATTTTTACTACACTGATCCTACCTATCCAAGAGCATGGGGGGTCTTTCCATTTTCTGGTATCTTCTTTAATTTTTTTCTTTAAGGACTCAAAGTTCTTGTGATACAGGTCTTTCACTTGTTTGGTTGGTGTTACCCCAAGGTATTTTATGTTGTTTGTGGCAATTGTAATGGGTGATGTTTCTCTGATTTCTTTCTCAGCCCCTTTATTGTCTATATATACTGGGGCTACTGATTTTTTTGAGTTAGTCTTGTATCCTGCCACTTTGCTGATTGTGTTTATCAGTTGTAAGGATTCCCTGGTAGAGATTTTTGGGGTCACTTAAGAAGACTATCATATCATCTGCAAATAGTGAAAGTTTAACTTCTTCCTTTCCAGTTTGTATCCCCTTGATCTCCTTTTGTTGTCTTATTGCTTTAGCTGGAATTTCAAGTACAATATTGAAGAGGTATGGAGAGAGGGAACAGCTTTATCTTGTTTCTGATTTTTAGAGGAATCACGTTGAGTTTCTCTCCATTTAGTTTGATATTGGTTGTTGGTTTGCTGTATATAGCTTTTACTATGCTTCAGTATATTCCTGTTATCCCAGAAAATGAAATGTCTTCCATCTCTTTTGATTAATTTTAGTTTCAAGTCTATTTTGTTAGATATTAGCATGGCTACACTATATTGTTTCTTAGGTCCATTTAATTGGGAAATCTTTTCCCAACCTTTTACTCTGAGGTAATGTCTGTCTTTGAAGTTGGCGTGTTTCCTGTGTGAAGAAGAAGGATGAATCCTGTTTTCATATCCATTCTGTAAGCCTGTGTCTTTTTATTAGCAAATTGAGATATTAATGATCAGTGATAGTTAATTCCTGTTATTTTTAATTTTCGGTGGTGATGGTGGTAGTGTGTGTGTGTGTGTGTGTGTGTGTGTGTGTGTGTGGGTGTGGGTGTGGGTGTGGGTGTGTAGGTGTGTCTCTTTGGGTTTTTCTGGTATAAGATTATCTATTTGCCTTTTTTTGTGGGTACAGCTAATTTTCTTGGGTTGGAGTTTTCCTTCTAGTATTTCTGTAGGGCTGGGTATGTGAATAGGTATTGTTTAAATCTGCTTTTATTGTGAAATATCTTGTTTTCTCTGCCTGTCGTGATTGAAAGTTTTGCTGGGTGTAGTAGTCTGGAATAGCATCCATGGTCTCTTGGCTCTTGCAAAGGTCTGTCCAGAACCTCTGAATTTTAGAGTCCCCATTGTGAAGTTGGGTGTTATTCTTTTAGGTCTTTCCTTTTTTTTCAGGAAAAAATTTTAAGTTTCATTTTACATTCTAACCTCAGTTCTCCCTCCCACCCATCATCCTAGCCCCCACCTCCCCTCTCAACACCCCAGTACCATCCACATATGTTACTTGATCTTTTAATATTCATTTATTATTCTGTATGCTTAGTGTTTTGATTGGCACGTGGCAAGGGTTTTTTTTGGGGGGGTATAGTCTATTTGGTGTTCTATAAGCTTCTTGTGCTTTTATAGGCATGTCTATGTTTAGGTTTCCGCTGCATTGGAATGTTCAGGTCTTCCTGGTGTATGATCACTGGTTTCTGGTGGTGCCATACTTTCTGCTGTTGAATATATTCTTACATTGACATTTTTGCATCTGTTCTTCCAACTAGAGTAGGCTATATCCGTGCCTATAGAATCTGCTGAAGTTGTGGGGAAAGAATGGCTATGGGGAGGATGATGAGCTGGGTGGGGTTGGGTGGCAGAGTGGGTCTTGGGGGGGACATAATCCAGTGGGTGGCAGTGGTGGTGGTGCAGCCTACTGGCAGGACTCATCTGCTGGCAGATGTTGGGCACTGCCAAAATAAATCTATCTTAAAATTGGAAGTTTGTACCCTTTGACCAACATCTTCTAATTTTCCTACCCTACTCTCCAACTTGTAGCAGTCACCTTTCTACCATATTTTTCTCTTTGACTGTTTTAGATTCCATCTATAATTAGAGACTTTTTTCTGCATCTGGTTTATTTTACATAGCGTAATGACTTTGGAGTATGTTATATTGCAAATAGGACTTTTTTTGCAAGGCTGAGTAATATTCCTTCATTATATACCAGTCATCATTACCTGCTCATCTGTCATTAGTTTCTCTGTGTTGATTCACAAAGAGTGCTTCAGTGAACATAGGAAGACTGACACATCTTCAGAACACTAAGTAAATTCCAGGAAAGCTGGAAATAAAAATTGACATATAAATACAATCCAGAGGGGAAATGCTAGAAAGCTAGCAGAAATGAATATTCATTTAGTGGAGATAGTCTCATGCTTCCCATCGAATCCTAATTGGCTTTATAGATGACCTTGATCTTGATCCTGTGATCCAACCTCTGCTTCTTTAGTGCTGGGATTATATTTCTGTGCGACTAAAGTTCTGAATGCTAGGAATGAATATTCACAGACACCACTGTTTTAGAGCTGGCTAGATGACTCGTCAGCTAAAGGCGCCTGTCACCAAGCTAATGACCTGGAGAGAACCAATTTCCACAACATGTTCATGACCTCCACACACGTGCCATATTGTGTGCACACTTGCACACACATGTAAACACATTTTTAAAAATTTAAACTTTAAAAAGCTAGGTGTCCTCTGCTTAAAATTATTTTGCTATGGTTCTGCTTTCTGGGAAACTTCTATGGTTATTTAATACTAAATTCAATTCTGAGATATCATAGTGATTTTTTTTGAGACATGATCTCATGTGTCCTAAACTAGCCTTTTATCTTAGAGTGGCCTAGAACTTACTATGTACCCAAGGAAGACCCGAGCTCCTGACCCTTCTGCTTCTACCTCTGAGCTCCGGGATTGCAGGAATGTGTCATCTCACCTGATTTTATGTACTGCTGGGGACACACCCAAAGCATCACACACATTAGACAAGTACTCTACCAGCTAAGTCCCAGCCCCAGATCACAGAATTTTTAAAGGAAATTTATTGGTGCATACTAGGTTTTGGCTGGTGGTAGTTCACACAAATGCCCATGTAACTCTTTCTGTTGATTATAGTCTTGCTGTTGTCTGCTTAAGAAGAAATCTGGGAAAACTAAAACTGTTTCCGTGTAATTCAGTAATCACTTTGGCCATCTGTTATTCCTTTTGCTTACCATAAAATATGTATGTTATCTAGTTATATTTCAGAGGCCAAGTACATTACTAAACTTCTTTAATATACCTTTCAAATTTTATTTATCCTTATTAATTAAATTTGTTCTTAGACAATACCGTACATGTATGCAGTATACAATTCTTCACCATCCTTCTACAGCCTAATTTCTCCCCAGAAATCTAATTTTCATCCTAGGAAATGCCACTTGCTTACATAGCATTCAATACAGACCTTCTAAATCACATCACATTTTAGAATTTAATTTCAGAGTCTGAGGAAACTTCTCAGTGCTTTCTGATTTCAAGGACCTGTATCGCCTGAGTGAAGCAGGAGTCTTCCTTCTTATGTTGGGGTGATGAAGTTTCTTCTTCTTTTGCATGTCGCAGACAGGCAGATGGATCTCTGATCAAACACAAGAAAAGAAATTGTTTATCATATCTCATATCATTTCTGTGGGGGTGGCAAAAGGGTCTGGTCATTTTAGCTCATGTAGTTTCAACTTTTAGTTGAAGCTATTGGGGTGGTCTGATTTAGCCTCCAGATATTCAAATGATGCTTCTAATTACTTCGCATGTATTTTTTACTCCGTTGTAAGCATATGCAGAGCATCATATAGGCTCCATAATTTGGAATTTTAGAAGCTGTTTACACTGTTAGGAAAAGCCGTGTAGCTAACACCAGGCAAGACTGTCACTCTCTGGAATGTCGCAGGTCAGCTGGTTCCTGCTCCTTTTACTTCTCTATTTCCCACAGTGCATAGATGACCACTCCATTTGTCCCTGTTCCTCCAGCATGCCCAAACTATTCAGTGTCCTCTGACATACAAGTTTCTCAACTCGTCAGGTTCTAGTCTGTCACTCAAAACAAGCCAGAAATCACCACTTGAAAGAATATTCTTTTTCCTTCCAATCTAAATTCTTTGAAAACCTTCATTTAAAAGTAGTCCTGTGGAACCTGGAAGTCTTTGATACACTCCAATGGTTTCTGTTCGCAGGACTCGTCATTAAGCCACATTGTTCATCAGTAAATGAAGTCAGTGATGTTTACAGGGACAGGAGCTAATGAGAAGCAGTTTATGTTACTCAGAACCCATGTACTAGAATTCATAACTTTAACACCATATGCCATTACTTCTGATTATCACAATATTTTAGTAACTAGGTACTCTTTCTGTATCAAGAGTGAAGATGCATGGAATCTAATTTTTTTACAATAAATTCTAATATTTGCACAATTTCAGTCAGTGTGTATGCTGCTGCAATATGATTGTTTGTGTGTTTTGTTTGTTTTGTTTTCCTGTTGTGTATTTAGTTCGAGCAGTAAATCCCAGGATCAGCAATCTCACTGCGGCAGCTGCTGAGACGTATGCCAATATCAGTTGGGAATATGAGGGACCAGAGCATGTGAAGTTTTATGTTGAATATGGTGTAGCAGGCAGTAAGACATGATTTATTACCCTGCTTTCAATATGGGGGACAAATTTTAGGAGACTAAGAATAATGTTTAGGACTTACCATGGACTGCATTGAAAAATAACTTGATCCCACCAAAAGAATCAGAGTCACCATAGTAAAATCACTGTGAACTACAAGCCCCCATAGTTAATGTACAAATACAAATGCTCTTGTTACTGTGAACTATATGTCCATAAAATTAATATATAAATACAAATACTCTGTTACTAACAGTCATGGCCATTAGCTCACTGCTATTGATTTTTCATATCAGAGCACTTTAAATTGGTTCTGTAAATACAACATGTAAATAAAACTAACAACTTTTAAGTACATATAAGATAACTTTTTTCCTTTTTTCAATCTGGAATTTCTAGTAGCATAAATCAAACTCATATGAAAAAACTCATTTTACCCAAATTAACCCAGCAAAATTTTACAAGAAATTGAAGAAAATTAAAACTGTGGAAGCATCCATTTTGTGTTTGTGTTTTATGTATTGCTAAGTCAGCTCTCTGTCCACATATAGCCATGTCTCTTGGATGGTCCAGGAGCCTTGTGTTTTCAGTGATTCATGAAAACCCATCCATCCCTTCCTCAATGTAGTATGCTCTGCAATCACAGGCTGATTGGATAGGAAATATTTTCTCAAATGTCTGACAAAATGGTGAATACCAGTTAGTGTCCTGTTGAGGCCTTTATCAGGCAAATATATATTTTTGCAAACAACCATTCCTTAGAAAAAGCAACACTTGACAAACATTGAATCTGTAACTTGAATAGGTATAAAGGTATTTAAACTTATCAGAAGATTCATCTAATTCTTATAGTTCACTGAAGCCCCTTAATGTATTCTTGATGTGAATATCTTGGGAGAAACTCAGCCATTTCATAAGACAAAGAATAGATGAGGCAGTATCCTTTGTATAAGACAGAATAATGACCACGATGGGGTATGTCCATTTGGGTGCATGCTAAGTGTCCAATAGGTTTCTCTTTGAGGATATTCTCACTTAGTTCCCCATTTTAACTGACTTATTTGATACAATTAGATCTGTAACAATCTAAAGCCCTAGATATTTTATCTTTACCCCAAAGACAATTTTATTTTCTTGAAATATTGAGTAACTTCTGGTCCCTTGAAATGTTCAACTTTTTGTTTGTTTTTGTTTTTTTGTTCTGTTTTGTTTTTTTGCAAAATTTCCATAGGCAAAGAAGAATGGAGGAAAGCAAATGTAAATGGTTCTCGAAGCTTCTTTGGGTTAAAGGGTCTAATGCCAGGAACAGCATACAAAGTTCGAGTTGGTGCTGAGGGGGCCTCTGGTTTTGTGAGTTCAGAGGATGTGTTTGAGACAGGCCCAGGTGAGGCACATATCACACCAGTTCTGGCTCGTACTCACAAGTAGAAGCCAGCCGACACTCTAGTCAGAGCTGGTGCGGGTGCAACTCGCAGGGCTGTGGATATCTATCTGTGGGGTCCTTCTGGGTTGGGAGTTTGCATTATTTATGTTTGACTTGTTTTATTAAATGAATTACAAATTGAGCAAATCCTCTTTCGTCTGCATTATTGACCAAAACCATTTTAAAAGCCTGAAAGGTTAACTTATTATTTAGATAATTATTTTTTAAATAATTTTCATATTTAAAATTTCTCTGAATTAAATTGACATTGATGTCTGAAATTCTTTTTCAGTTGGAATTATATCTAATAGAGTCAGAATTCCTTATATAACCCAGAAGAACCCTGAAATTTGGTTAGATGATCAACACAGCATTGCTAACCTTGTAAAAAGAAATACTATAAGTCTGGTATTGTATTTTATTGCAAAAATTGCCTGTTTTATGTGTTTTAGTTTTATGAATGTTATTCAGAATTCACTAGTGCAAAAGGAAAGTTTTAAGAAGAACTTTTCATGTAAAATATAAATAATAATATCAAATATTTGCTGTCAATATAGTAAACACTTTACTCAGATTGAAACAGGAGCTCTTTGGTGTGTGTTCATCCTATGGTCCATATATTCATCCTCTGCTCAGTCATGCCATATATTCTTGAGGAGATGTCACATACCTACTCCTGTAGAAACCAAGGACAAGATGGGGGATTATAGTTTCACTAACAAAGCATTATTTTTAAAGTCATTTCATATCATTTGGAATTACTCACTCAGGAAAAAATTTAGAAAGAGAAAGAAACCAAAGTTAATATTAAGTTACTTATCAAATAAGGCTTTCTAAATATACATGTACTAAAATCAGTATGTTTTAAGAAAAGTCCTATTATTCTGTCCCTTCTTTTTCATGTCCATTTACATGCACAGGCTAGGAAAGAAATTAATCCTAAAAGGGGATTCTAAACAACTCAGTTATCTCTGCAAGAATTTTGCTTGTTGTTGTTAATAACTGTTAATTTCAAAATACTAAAAGCTCATGTAGACATACAGCTAGTATAGGGATAAAAATACAGCATGTAGTCATCCCCCTGTACTGCATATGAGAGGTTTCCTCATTCCATGGTTATAACATCCCTCTAAAGAGAACACTGTTAGTGCCCACTTATACTACAGGCCCATCTTTAGAGCTGAAGAACTGACCCTGATCACAGTTGAAGTATGGTAGAGCTGGTACCCAAAGTCTGCCCCCCCAGTCCCAAAGAGAATCCCTAGTCATACCCACGGAGACAGACCCCAAGAGGAACAGGTTGTCGCAGAAACAATGGATTCAATTAGCCTTCATAGGTTTATGGTGCTTTTCTAAGCCTCCAAGGACTTCATGTCCTCCCAAATTACAGACAAATTAGATTTGCATTCAAAATCAGCTTGCAGCATGTTTGTCCTTTTACACTACCAAATATGTCTGCTTTTAAAAAAAGAATATTTTCCTCAGTGGGAGATGCCTAGCATCCCAGTGGCAAGTGCTAGTTTTATTCAAGATGAGTGAAAGGAAAGAGTGGGACATGGAACATTGCTGTGTGCCACTGACCGTGTTAGGATGATGCAAGACCCAGTAATTTCCACCTTTTGCATGCTCACTGACAACTAAAAAGAACACGTTTTGATTAAGTTCTAGTAATGGCCCAAAGAACAAACCCCATCCTCGCAGGGGCAGTGCTCTGTCCTTAGAGCCATAGAATGCACACCATGCAAACACTTTATGGGCTGCTCTCCCTCCCAGCAGTAGGTCTAGGCCACCCACACTCAATGGGGAAGCATAACATTTGGCTAATTTTTTAACTCTGTGTCCGTGTGCTGCTTCTCTCTCTTCACTTTGCCAGTCCCAGGAATCTCAGCTCAAGGTTTCCGCTGCAGTTCTTGGTACGTGGTGTTATCTCCACCTTTGTAGTCGCTGTCTAGGACACGGGTGACTGTGCCGGGCAGCACACACTGAATCAGAAAGCAGCAGGACTGCGGGGAGGATGGCGCTCTGCTCTGTTCCTGCCCCGATCTCTCCCTAGTATTGCCCTTCTATCCTCCCTCCTATTTCAGCCCCTCAGCGGTGGCGCTCCTCTCTTATGTCATCAGAGCAGACAGATCTGCTCTTGGGCTCAACTCCATTCTGTTGATTCTTCAGGCCTTTCTAAAGCTCGTTCTTGCCATCTCTAACTGTTTTAACCGGACAGGTCACTTTCATGCTTTGTGACTTCTTCATGAATAGTCATCATATGTCTAGCTCTGTGATTCGGAGTGCCAAAGAACACTGTCCTCAGAGATCCCCCACCATGTAGCATGTGTTATCCATGTCACAACAAGCAAAATAAGAGCAGTAAACTGTTCTGAAACTTGTAGGCATCAAGGCAGGCCTCACTCCTCTGCCTTATTTTGCATTTGTATACTCCTTTGATGTGTCTGTTTTGTTTCTCACCTTGTGGATAATTCAAGCTTATGATTTAACTATAGAAATTCCAGACGAGAAGAAATCACTTTCGCTTTCCAACTAATACCCTCATATGTCAGCCACATTTCTCTTTGCTGTGACTTGACAAGACACAACTTGGGGATGACGTATTTGTTTTGGTCAGGATTTAAGAGTCCAATGCATCATGGTGGGGACAGCATGGCAGTGGCAGTGGCAAGGAGGGGCTATTGCAGCAGGAGCTTGAGGTTGCTTGCTCACATGATGACAGACCAGAACGCAGGCAGATAGGACTGGGCGACCAGGCAATAAAACTCCGAGACTCATCTTCACTGACCCACTTCTATCAGCATGGTTTCCCCTCCCCAAGGTTTGACAACACCAGCTGGGGACCATGTGTCCAAACACATGGGCCTAGGGGAGTCACTTCACAGTCGAGCTCTTCTTTCCAAAAAGGGAAAAAAGCATAGGTTTCATCTGTGCCTCTCTATTTCTGTCTATGTGTGTATGCGTGTATGAATGAATGTATACACCTGCTTACTTGGGATTAGCTGGCCTTAAATAATAGATCAGAGCAATGCCAAATACTTTTTTCTTTGATACAGAAGCGAACATTCAAAGTTACCATGAAAATCTTTGGTCAATTATCCAGGCAGTTTTCACAGCTACTGAGTAGAACTGCTGGGAAGCAGCTCAGTTAGGCAAGTCTCCTTCTGTGGAAGACAGTGTTAGCACTAATACTTGTGCACCTTGCATTTTTATCTCATCAGTCTTACTTGATTTGATGAAATATATAAATGCTGAAACTATTTGTAACAATGCCATAATTCGTTTAGCATTCCAAAATCAAGGACTCCCATGATTAAAATAACTTTTTCCATGTGGTTTGGGGCTCAGTTTTGAATAAAAGCACACAAAGGCCATGCACAAATTGACAAGACTACTTTACCAAAGAGAATGTAATGAATTTTTCAAATATTTTACCTGTTCCGGAATGGAATGTCCCTAAAACAGTTTATGATATGTTCAGACATTTGTGGATTTGGTGTCTGGACATGTTTTCAGTAACACATTGTATCAGTACGTTAAATAGTTTACTACCATGCTCACTAACTGAAGCAAGACAGGAAAGAAAGACAGACAGACACGGGTCCTTTCCAACTCTTGGGAGATCTCTTGTTCTCACCCTCTCTTGCTTTGGGATTATCATAATGCCTACCTCAGAGGACTTTTGTGAGGGTTAAAAGAGATCCTGCCTTCAGTACAGTTCCTAGCATAGAGGAGCTGTCCAACTTGTTAGCTACTGTCATCATCACCATCACCACCACCACTGACATCATCACCATCATCATCATCATCATCACTGTGACATGTGTATGAAAGCCAGAGCTGTCTATGCTCAAGTTCTACATGTGCCTGGTTACACGGCAGCTCAAAACTCCTCTAACTAATGAGGCACACAGGCGACGTTTGGAAAAGGCTACTGGCCTCCAATTTATGTTCCAAATGATATATTTCCACCTCCATTTTATTTCTTAAACATATGTCCATTTCATATTTGATTTTAACCACTTTAATTGCTTCTTTTAACACACGTGGGGAACCTGGGATATGCTTATTTCTGTATCCAGAGATCATGCACATCTCACCCAATGGTGAAACCTTTACAGAAGAGACTCAGATTAAAGGCACAATGTAGACATATGGATGAATGCAAAAGAAGAAGACCTCTTCTGTTGTTTATGGCTTAGAAAGGAAAAGGAGAGGCCTGTAATGAAAGATTCACGCAAGCTTATTCAAACACATCTTCGTGGGTGTGTGTGAATGGCGACGGATGCCTAACTTTGCCCTTTGTAGCTGACACTTTTTCATAACATCTGAACGGTTCGTAGGAGCTTTGCATACTGTGAGCAGCTGAATAAAGAGTTTCACATCATTTCTTCAAGCAGAATAGATGGAGACATAAAGGACTGTATACATGTAGATGAATATTTTTCTCTTCAAACTGTACGTTGATTCCAACAATTGGTCAAAATATGCTTTAAGGTTCTTTGAATAACGGAGCCCAAACAATAGCAAATACTCATCCTTGGACAACATATTTGATATTCTCAAGATTTCCATTCAGAATTGAGGTGTTGTGAAAATAACAGTTTGGGTGTTCATCAGTGCCTAAGTGTTCTTGGATGGGTCATTTTCTTTCCTTTTCCTTTTTTAAGATTTCCAAAACACTGAAAAAATAGCTTCATCCTCCCACTGACATATTTGTCTCCCAAGGTAGTTTCTTTTGAAGGGAAATACTCTGTTAGATGTATACACTCTGTTCTGTCTAAAATTCAGTTTTCTATTTTGATCATACCGAATATCCATTTTATCCCCCCAAATAATAGAGTTTAATTGGTTTGAGAATGCAATTCTACTGAGAATGTATAGTTAAAATAAGTGTGAATCTAGTGTTTATCAGGGTGCGGCAGCACTTAATCTTATTAACATAAAGATTTCTATATTTCAATTTTTTACACAGTGAAGCTTTATCAAAGTAAAGTATGTAATTTCTCATTGGTGATTGGCAGATTCCAATTTTGGGGTCCTGTGAAAAGCACAGAAAAGCTCATATACTGTGGCAATTGTTTTTTTAATGGAGAGACCAGCATGGATCTCGTCTTGCCATTAACCTATCCCTCCTTACGCCGTCGATTTGTTTTGTAGCAATGGCAAGTCGGCAAGTGGATATTGCGACCCAGGGCTGGTTCATAGGTCTAATGTGTGCTGTGGCCCTCCTCATCTTAATTCTGCTGATCGTTTGCTTCATTAGAAGAAACAAGGGTGGTAAATATCCAGGTGAGAGGGATTCCAGATGCTTCCCATTGCCTCAGATTTATCTGCTACACTGAAAAGAATAGTGGGGATAGGAGTAGGAGCTGGATATATTGAAAGTCATACATTTGAGTTACTTGATTGAACCATTTTGACTCCTCTTTATATTATGAGGACTGTCCCAAGGTCATGGGCTACATGAGAAATGAATCAGTCAGTTTTCCAAGGAGGCCTGCTTCCTTAGACTCCGAAGGGTTGTGAACACTGAAGTAGGGCCTAAAACCAGTTTACAGGAGATGAAAGGGGGGCAGCCTGTATAATTTTCCAGACAGAATACAAAAAACATGTGACATCACATTATGGCCCCAGCAAGGATGACACATTTCTATCTTCTTTACTTGACTGTTTATCCTTTGATTAAAAATGTTAAGTTTTTAACCACCACAAAAGAAATCACTTATAAAAATACACTAGTAAATGGACTGGGAAATTTAGAAGAACAATGGGAAACATAAAACTCATTTCTTCATTGGGAGAAAGACTGAAGGGGCTCGTGTTGATCAGCATTGCTCTAGTAAATATCAAAGCATACTCATGGCCACATGGCCACATGGCTACACAGGATCCCCTTATGTAGAGACTGTCTTTCCTCTGCATCTCGGCTCACCCCTACAAGAGTTGAGCAAGGAAGTTGAGTATCAATGGATAATAATGTCACTTGAAACTTTCCAGTTAAAGAAAAGGAGGATGCTCATGCGGACCCTGAAATCCAACCCATGAAGGAAGATGACGGAACGTTTGGAGAATACAGGTGAGCCCTTGTTTCTTCTGGTCCTGCCTTCCCTGCCCCACTAAACACTACCCTCAGACACTCCCCGAGTTCTGAGAGCAGAACCCAGTGAGCAGTGGGCCCTGCCTGGCAGTTCTTACTTTAGAAAAAGTGCATGTCAAAACACAGACCCCCTTCTTGATGAAAATATTATCACTAAAGCCATTCCATTAAAAAATAAGATTCATAAAATTTTTCCACTGTAGTTATATGTTTAGAGTCAGAAAATATCCCACCCTGTTATCTTTTCCAGAGACACGAGCTGTGCTCTTCAGCCCAGCAATTTCATTGTGCTGCAGTGAGAACTAGAAGGACCCTGTACAGCCTGCAGTGTGAGGGAAACGCACATTTATAAAACCAGTGTTAGCGGGGCTGCTATCTGTGTTTGTTTCACTATATTTTTGAGATTGAATCTCATTGTGTAGTTCAAGCTGGACTGGGATTCCCTACATAGGTCAGGCTGACTCCAAGCTCATAACCACCCCCCACTTCAATATTCCAAGTGAAGAGAGAGAGAGGGAGAGAGGGAGAGAGAGAGAGAGAGAGAGAGAGAGAGAGAGAGAGAGAGAGAGAGAGAGAGAGAGAGAGAGAGAGAGAGAGAGAGAGAGAGAGAGAGAGAGAGAGAGAGAGAGAGAGAGAGAGAGAGAGAGAGAGAGAGAGAGAGAGGAGAGGAGAGGTAATATATGTGTGTGCTGGGAACCAAGCATAGCTTTGCACAGACCAAGCAAGCACTCTGCTGCTAAACTGCATGCTCAGCCCCAACATGTTTTAATCTCAGATTCATAAAATGCTTTTTCTTAAATAATGTCTGTCCCCCTAACTTTTAGACAATTAGGAGTAGGTTGTTTTAGAAGCTGCTAATTATTAAGAGCTGTCATAGTCATGCAGTGCATTACCCCACAGAATGCCAATACTACATTCTTGATTTAACTACATATTAAGAAAGTCATTTAGCATAATCTATCCACCTTCTTTTAAGTCTCTTTGCATGAAACTATTCTTATCTAGAGACTACAGGTTTTTCATAGAGAGAAACAGTTATTTTTGACATTAAAAATAAAGTTCCATCATGTATGTAATACCCTGAAATAATTCTGTTTACAAAATACCTTTTAAAACTTAGTTTTTTTGGTGATATGAGATATCATCTTCCAAAAATACATGAATCTCATCTTGTGGGTTTTTTGATGTAAGAAAGTACTTTTGGGTGAAATAAAAGATTCACTGTTGTGATTTCCAAGCCAACTTTGTTGACAAACATTTGCATCAGGGACTAATTGGCTCTGTAGCTGAATTTTGGATTCCCGTGTCAATATCATGAGGGAACAACCAATGCCAATGTAGGAAATGTAAATGAATTCAGAAAACCCATAGGTTTCAGTATGAGCTTTCATAACAGTGTCCGTGCACATGTGAACATGTCTGGCCTGCTATGTCTCAGCACCTATGCTGTCCCCCTCCACAACAGAATTCCAAAAGCTCTCAGATTTTCTGTAGCTCATGATAGCACAACAATATTTTGCAAGGGTTATGTTGATGCCTGGTATGGGGTCTGGAGGTAAAAGTGTCTGAAATCCTTAGCCAGCACCCACCTATCATGACCAGTTTTCCATAGCACATAAGAACAGCCTTCAGTACGCATAGTCCAGGGCAGCTGCATCTCACTCTGGAGGAGTAGAAATCTTCGCTGGTATAACTCAATTTTCTACCTGTTTCTCCTACACACAGGTGAGCTGATACTAATTAAAGGACAACCTTGTAAAGTTCTTGTGGCTATGACCTCATACAGGATATGCACACCACTCCCTTGTTTACTGATATGAAGCTACGTCTTCATTATAGAAAATATATTTGCATGAATTAGAAATAAGCCATTGCACTTCATACATTCTCCACATTGTGGTGGATTCATATTCTTATCATGCTTAAGCAAATATGGCAATGTACTGCTCATCTCAAAGCCCTCAAAATACCACTTTGCTATTATATTGGTGTGGAGCCAAGACCTGGGACAATGTGACTTTGGGTGACTATGCTAACACCACTAAATCTTGACTCAAGTCAAGGTTGTGTCTTATATAAGAACTAGCTTGGAATCCAGAGGCTATTAAGTTTTTTCAGCTTGGCCATTGCCTCTGATTCCTTTATGATGCCTAATTTGTATTCATCTTAATTTTCAACATCTAGACAAATTTTCAAGAACCCAAACATCTTCAGAGGTTTCATTCCTAGCTCTGTGCTCTCTGTGAGTGACCTAACAACTTCCAGACGAGTCTGTTTTCAGAGCAGTACATAGCAAGTGTCTGGCTCTATCCTCATAGTCACAATTTGATTTCCATCTACCAGCTGACATTTCTTTGTCTCAGCATTAATTCATGTGTGTGCCGTGTCTGCGAAGCGTTTTCAAATGGCCATCTTTGGCTTTTGCCAAAGTTTCTCAGGATAGAGATTTTCCATTTGGGCCTATTGAATAGAAGCCCAATTGGCATGAAGACAAAAATACTTGTCACTCCTGAAATGACATTAATCCTGGAGGGGCCAAAGGAAATAAAGTTCTGATGGATGCCTCCAACCCAAAGCACGACTCGGTGGTGTGATTTTGAATTTTCAAGTTCGTGAGGATGCATGGGAAATCACATCTCCCAAATTCCAGGATGCAGTTATTGTAGATGTGACCTTCTCCTTAGGCATTCGGATGCTTCCTCAGGTTTATTCCCTTTGGTTTGTTCCACTTAGGACTTTTTAATCTGAGAGTCATAATTAATGAAAACGGTTCCAACTATTTATGGAGAATTATCTGTTTTAATGGTACATTTGAGTGTTACTATCTTCCCTAAATCACCGGGGTCCTTTCTCTACTTTGCACCTTCTCGATGTTTTGAGCTCTGTATTTCTTATTGATTCTTAGTCTCCTGCATTCGGAAAATGAATTATAGTGCCGGTCTCGTGTTGACACACGATTAGAACAATCGTGGAAAAGTAAATTAATTCCATTTGTGTTTCACACATTCTCCAGCCTGAGGATGGAACAATTCTACCTGGTTGGCTCCAAGCCAGACAAAATATCATAGTGCAAAGAGGGATGGACCTCCTGTACTAGCCAAAGTTGATTTTTTCCCATATGTTTTATCCCCATACCCTCACTCCAACACCTAACCCAAGCAGCTACCCTCTCTCAGAAGCCTGCAGCTTTCTTTGTTTGTCTCTTTAATTATACAGACAGTAGGATCTGCATCCTTACTAGCATATAGAAAAATCAAAGAAACAGTGCAGCCAACTATGTAAGTACCTCCTTATTCTTTAGATGCATTCTGTTTAAAAACAACAGGGAGCCTAGGATGTAAACCATATGCTTGTGCTATGCAAACCATGTTTTACTGCCCAAATAGAGGATTTTGCCATGGGAATCTTGTCATTCATGTGACCACAGTGCTGTTGCCAACTTGTTAACTCTTGCCAAAGCTTGGCTGATACAAGCTGTGGTGTTGCATTTGCTACATACTTCAGGCTTATTGTGCTCACAAATATGAACTGGTTGTAAGCAAATAATGATGAACTTTTACAGTGTGCTGGCCTTTGATTTCGGTATATGGATGTCAATAACACTGTTGTGTAGTTTGAGCATTGCAGGCCAGTTGCTGCAGGAATGTCATATGTCTTATTAGATTTATTTAGTGTTAGTGGGTTTTATTTTAGTAAACATTTCATGTATGTAAACCAAACACTACTGCAAATGGAATGAAAGAACTCCCTAAAATACATCCTCAGTATTAAAGAAAGAATAAAGCAAAGCAATGCTGTGTCTGCTGTTATAACACTAAGGAGTGAAAACTGTAATACTAGAATTTTTGAAATATTTATGCTCTCTTATATTGTAATTTTACCATGAATTTACCCAAAAGATGCTTATTAAGTGCGTACTGTATGCCAGACCTTAGGTAAATTGAACACAATAAAATTTGATCCTTCACTGGGAGTTTATAATCTTGTGGGGGAATACAGAGAACTACCAACAATTTGATGGATATGTGAAAAGTGTCATTTCTTTTTCTCATCACATTGCTTGATACTCCTGGGTAGTCTTTATTAGGAGTGTAGAAAACAGCCAAGTGTGGTAGCTCGTGTCTGCATTCTTAGCACTTGGGCAGACAAGGCAGGAAGATGAGTTCGAGGTCATCTTCAGCTACATTGCAAGGTTCAGAGTGTTAGGTCAGCCTGTGCTATGTCCAAAAACATAGAAAGAAGCGAGAGAGGATGAGAAAAAGGAAGAGAGGGAGAGAGAGAAAAGAAAGGGGAGAAAACAGCCATACTTACTATGACTTCTGATTCTAACCAGAACAGTTCAGCACTGGCCATCAAGGATTCCATTCACTGTAGTTTTCATGTAGGCATCCTTAACCAGATTAATAGAAACACTTCTCCTTTCTAGCATATTAAAGTTTTCTTCATGAGTGGGTGTTGAACTCTGTCATATCCATTTTTCTAAGTCTCTGGTGATGATCATAGATTTTTTTTCCTTTCTACAAAAGTACAAATGGTAAACTTCATAAATTGTATTTTCATACTAAATCAAACTTTCATTCCTAAACTTGACCCAACCTGATGTGATCTGATATTTTATCTCTTTAGTGGTTGGCTGCATTTGGCTGGTTATGAGTTCAGGACTCCTTGTCTATGTTCATGAGTTGTATCAGGCTGTAGCTTGACTTCCTTGAGGCATTTTTTGTTGATTGTACATATCATTGTCATAAAAGTCTCATAACATTATTTCAGACACACATAAACTTTGACACGTGCAAACCAAACTTCAGATCTTCACCCAAGGATGCTCTGCACAGTGAAAAGGGGCAATGCCAAGCTTCTTGTTTATGCCAGACATCCTGGTGCTGTCACCTTCCCTGTGGCTCCCTAGCCAATCCACCAGGAAGTCCTCCTTGCTCTTCCTTATAAAATATGACCACAATCTGAGCATTTGCTGTAAACTTCTTCAACATTCCACCCTGGTCCAAACCACAACCATCTCTCTCTTGAATGACAGACGTAATCTCCCAACTCCCCTGTGGAGCCTTGTGGATTCACACTTGTAAAGAGCGCTGGGTCAATGTTTTAGACTTTACAGCCCATATAGTCTCAGCTGGAACTCAGCAGTTTTGCTGATACAGCAGCAAAGGGGCCGTAGGCAATAAATAAATCACAAATGGGTGTGTCTCAAGTTTGCTAGAGTTTGCCAACCCTTCCTCTCAAGGGTAGGCTACTGTCAATGCTTGATGGCAGAGTTGCGTTTTGAGAGTAATGTAGGTTCAGACCACAGTGCTCACCCATGGAAATCCACCTCCCACCCCCAGAGCCTCCATCTCTTAAACAGAAGCTCATCAATGTCAATGGGTCCCTGGCCTACCCCTGCCACCTCCAACTACTCTCTTTTTTACTCACCATTCCACTCCAGCCACAGTAAGCACCTTGCTGTTTCTAGAACATGCCAAGCCTGCCCTGCCGAAGATCATTTGTGCTGCTTGTTGCTTTTGCCATAATTGCTCTTGCTCTAGTCAGCCACAGGGCTAGCTCTTACCTCCTTGATCAGATGGTACCTTTAAACAAGACCTTCCAGGGATGAAGATGTCTTATGTCAACCCTCCCTCCTTTTTCCTGGCTCCTTCTGTTCTCCTTACTCAGCTCTCAATTCTCTGCAGTACTGATCACCTGACATAAGTTAATTTTCTTTGCCAAGATGGTTGCTAACTGCATTTCACTGGATGCAAGGGCAGCATCCAGTCTCTGTTGCTTGTTCCTATGTTCCCAGTGCCTAGAATGACATCTGCCCTAGAGTCAGTACTTAGTAAACATTAGATGAAGGCAAGACTGGATCAAAGAAATGACGTAATGAACACATCCTAATATGTATTCCTTGGCTTGTTAGTTCTACTAAGTAGAATAATAGGTGGAACTCAGGTGGCAAAAATCTGCTTATCATTGAACTCTTCAGGGGCATAAATATTAGAGGTATTAAGGCAAAGTACAGAAGTTCACAGCTAATTCTCAAAGATATTGTGTAAGCTGTTTTTATAAGTTAGGTTTTGTGAGTGTTGTGTCTTTTGAAATGCCCCATTAACAGGCCACCCCAATGATCGCTAATGTCACCAAGTTGTATAGATTATTTAGATGTGAATGTGTAGTTGTGTATTATCTTTATGGGTTGTTTTTGCTAGTTTTGATGTAGTCTTCTTGGAGCGAAAAATAAGAGATTGCTAGCAGGAAGTATCACCAAAGGAGACAGACTTATTTGTTTATCTTTAAGTCTTTGTAGCTTAACTAGGGAAACAAATCAGTCTTGCTAACAATGATCTTAGCACCATTTTTGGTTAAAACACTGACATTACAGTGACGGCGTTTTCACATCAAGTACATCAGGGCTTTTAGTTCAAGTATGGTGTATCAGTCCTATTTCACACCATGTTGTTTCTGGTAATAATTTTTCTATCCCCCCCAAACGTTACCTATTAAGGAATCAGTCACTGTATTTATACATATGACCGTGTTAGTGGATGATCTTAAATGCAGTAACATATGTGGTCATGTTAGTGCACATTCTTAAACACAATGAACACTTTTAGACTTTCAGAAGTTATGCTTAAGGGTTCAACAAAGAAATAAGCAAAATAATAATAGACTCCTATAATGCTTTCCTGAAATGCAAGCGCTGGACCCCCTCGGTTTGTGCATAGGCCAGAGGAGAGGTGAAAATCCAGTTAAGCAGGAGACAGAATATATTTGATTTTGTGAGTTTGGAAGCACCCACCCCCACCTTAGGGTCTGGGGGCTTGCTATTTATGGTTCAAATATAGTGCTTTTAAGTTAAAGTGTTTGTCTTTCCAAATTAATGAATCTTAACCCATTGACCAAAATTCTTCAGAAAAATTAAATTGTCACCTATCTGTATAAGGATTGTGCTTTTCTTCTTAGGCTGTTGTCATTTGTTTCCCCCTGCCTCCCTTTAATGGATTTCTAGGTCTTTTGAAAGGTAAGGTAGAAGTTCACAAATCTGGCCTGCACTCAATAACAAAATTAGTTGAACTGCAGGATTTCGCTTCTCCTTCTGGCTCAACAAAAACAATCCATATTTCACATGTAACTAAAATCATGCTCCATTCACCTCCAAGGAATCAGCGGTGTTCTACAGCTTAACACGCTAACTCGCCCCTGTCCTGAACTCTGCCCTGCCCCTTTGAATTGAAACAGTGATGATTTTCAGCTATCCTCAACCCTCCCCCTTCTAATGCTTGTGATTGTTCCTGGACTGCCTTCCAATCAGGCCTCGGAATCTCTCATTTAAACTAGCACGCACAATCGGAAAGCCATCCACTCTGCTGCAGAGCACGATCCAACCATTTCTGAGCCTGATTCCATTCCAGCACCACCCTTAGCCACTGGGATCCACCTGGCGGTCAGATTTGGTCATAGCAGCTCAGGGCCCCGTATGCTTTTTCATAATTTGCATGCACGATCTATAAAAAAAAAAAAAAAAAAAAAAAAACCAACAACAAGGCACTCTGGCTAAATGCCAGTCTTACCGAAACGTTTTCTTTCTTTCTTTTTTTTCTCCCAGCGATGCAGAAGACCACAAGCCTTTGAAAAAAGGAAGCCGAACACCTTCGGACAGGACTGTGAAAAAAGAAGACAGTGATGGCAGCCTGGCCGACTACGGAGAGGGGGTAAATGGGCAGTTCAATGAGGATGGCTCCTTTATTGGACAGTACAGTGGCAGGAGAGAGAAAGAACAAGCCGAGGGGAATGAGAGCTCAGAGGCCCCTTCACCTGTCAACGCCATGAACTCCTTCGTCTAAGTCGTTAAGCCCTGCGTCCATGTCCCATTTCTCTGGAAGGTTCTTCCTGAGCACTTCTCATCCCTCTCATTCCATGGACATATGGGTAGAAAGGATGTTTCCTGCTGGATGTGAGTATTGCGAGAGCAAAGCAAGGACTTGACTCGGCCAAACGATACGTTGATGTGAGCTGGGGTGCAAAGGGCGTACTTTTTGTTGTTGTTGTTCGGAGTGGGTTTTCTCAATTTCCTTGGAACCGATTAAAAAAAAACGTTCAACATCATCAATAGATCACATTATTCCCCGTGCATGAAACATGCTGCACAGAACACACACCTGTGTATGTGATTGCGCCGCGGCCAGGTGCTTTGTCGACACTATCCTCAGCCGAACCGTAAATCTGAATTCCGTTGTTATTGTGGGGAGTGTTGCCGTAGTGCTCTCTAGGGCATCAGTGTCTCTGTGGACATCGTTGTGAAACTCGTGACTGTGTCTAGCTGTTGTTAGTCCTTTGGGGAGACTGTGAGGAACAGTATGTACAGTCTATACTTGCTACATGAGCTAATGGTGGCAGGTGCACTCGCTAAGGCTCACTGAGACTGTCACCTGTTCTCTGCTCCTGTTGCTTCCTCGGCTTCTTAACCCTCCAGTTTACAGCAGTGTGTCCCACGTCTTACGCTATCTCTGGCCTCAGTTGTTTGGGGGCATAAGCATTGCGTTTTGTGACACACCTTCTGGTGTTTGTGCCATACTGAAAGAATGAAAGGCAAAACTCTCAAGGTACATTTCAAATTTCATTCTGGGAAATGCAGGGCAAGACACATGCGGTGCCTTCAGGCAATAAGTATCCCCTGACTCCTGCCCTCGGCATCGGCCGGTCTGGGCCACTCCATCCTCTCTTACTGCTATGGTCAGAAAGTAACTTTTTAAAGGCTGAGATAATGAGAACTGAAATGCTGAACATTCGTGAGAGTAAAAACAAGTTTATTTGAAGGGGCTTGACCCCATACATATCAAAAGCAAAGGATGCTCTGTCATTGGCTGGGACACATGAAGGTTTAGTGGTCTTTTGGGGTTTCTAGCCAAACAAGTCATGTTGAAAAAGAAAAAGGCCGTGGTTGGAAATGGATGGAAAAACAAATGATTGTAGAACTAAAAGCAGACAGCAGCGTGCGAATAGTGATACACTATCTGTATGCCTATATAAGCTTTCCAATCACAGCATTCGGCAATGCATATACAAATTGCAGCAAGCACACTCCAGAATCTGCAAAATATGGCAAGTGCTTAATTAGGCCAGCCGTCACAGGGATTACACCTGTAGTCTAAAGAATATGTAAGTATATACATCCTATATTGGTCATAAACAATGTGTATGAAATGGCTTACCTCCAATATAAAAATCTATGACAACCTATGGTTGAAAGAATGCTCAATTTCATTTGCCAATAAATTGGTTCCTCATAACTTGCATCAAGTTTAATTTTAAGTAAAGCTTTTTATATGTAGATATTCTGTTGAATTTGTAAATAGACGTAAAGTATAGAAGCTATATGCTTATAGGTGTTACATGCAAATAAACACACAAGCAATGTTTATGTTCTGCTGTGTGAGAAGTAAGCTCATTGATGCAGTGTATAGGACTGAAAACTTCCAAATGCCTGCCTCTCTCTCTCTCTCTCTCTCTCTCTCTCTCTCTCTCTCTCTCTCTCTCTCTCTCTCTCTCTTTGCTGTGAAACTGAAATAGTGAACCTTTTTGCCTACAGTTTCAGCCAGTTTCTGGCTGAAATCCTCTGTGTTTTGCTAACCAGGTGCAGTAGGATTTGTCAACTGGCATCTTCTATGCATACAGGTAAAGCTTGTTCTAAAGTGATCCCCAAATGTGGTGGCCCTCAATACTCTCATGACCTCACATTTACTCTCCACAAACAAGTCTGTCTCCTGGAATTACAGATAATAAGACAGGCTTGCCTAGACATCAGAAAGCACAGAGACAAAAGTTACTTCAGTGTTTTCAGAGACAAAAAGATAGATGTGCGGTCTCTGCTCTTCCATAACTACAAATCTGCAAGTCTCCGTGCATGAAGAAGTCACTTCTACAGATTACTACCGATTTTGTATTAAAAGCTAGATATGGTTTATGGTTTTAATGTCCCTCCCTCTTTTGTAGTCAATCATATTCCTAGTGGCACGTGAATGTCCAGGTGTAACAGGAATAATGATCTGATGATCTGTGTGCAGAGCAGGAAAATTCGACCAGATTGACACCAGAAAAGTGGCTATTAAACAGTCCAGACACCATAAGTTTTAACTTCTTCAAACCTGCATTTCCGAAGATTTTGAAGACATTTTGACTTATTCGTTTTATTTTTCAAAGGCCGATGACACCACAAAACTCAACCACCGTCAATTTGTATTTCTTAATATGGCTGCCTGATGAGTGAGTTTGAACACTCATAAATGCTACAAACATGCCATCCACGTCGTTCTTCTGTCTCCAAGCTGTATGAATAGCTGTGCAAACAGCCCAAGCTTAGCAAATACCCACATTCCATCGCCTGTCCCTTAGTCACAGGACCCGTCCCAGCACTATATCCAGGAGACCTGTGTTGCCCTCTCTGTTATTTAGATAACACGTTACAAAGAGAACTGTCAAATAGAGCTAGCTCAGTATTCCTCTCCCAGAAGGCACAGTTGGCTGTTCTCTCAGACCCTGCCTCCGTTCTCCCTCATCATTGTGTGCCAGAATAAGAAACCACAGCCGAGCTCTGCATCATGCCACGGCTCTGTGGCAACAGGGGCTGTAAAGCCGTAAGCATGGCCTCCGAAAGATTTGGTAGTTATAAAGCGCTATAAACCATCTTGTTCAGGTGTTTTGAACGACCTTTGAGATGAGGAGGATCCAGGAACTCAGGGATTCTCATCGACGGAATGAATCGCTCCCGCTTGAGTCGTTTCTACATCTGACCACCGGAGGGCGCTCCGTGCTTTATTCTGCCCCCAAAGAAACCTGCTAGAGAAAGCCGCCTAGGGACAACATCCAAATCAGTTTGGATAATCAAATGATGACCTGACTGTGCAGAAAAATGATCGCCTGCTGCAACGAAGGAAATGGAACGGCAGCTCTCCCTAGTGAGTTCCCAACTTTCCAGAGAGGAAGCATGAGCTGTGTGAGCCTTTTGCATAGTCGTTCTCTTGACTGGGGAGTTGCCCTGGGGTCCACTGACATGTTTGTCAGGGTGGTGTGTGTGAGGATAAGGGAAGGGGAGTCCTTAAAATGGCTTCAACTCCTTTCTTCAAAGATACTACTTTTGCCTGCCACCAATGGTTTGATGTTTGTTATTGAACAGAACGCACACAAAAGCAGTTTAAAGTACTTCCGGAAGAAGGGGAGGGACGAGCCGAGAATATTACTGCAGTATCTGTACTCAACAGTGGCTGGCAGGAGGCGGAGGGAAGGTCAGTGTCCCAGAGAGAAGTAAGGGTTGGTATTCCAACTCCGCCATCCAGCCAGCTTCGTGGCCCTGCATGAACCGATCCTCCGGCCATCCGGTGCCTATTTCCTCAGGAAGGTAACACTGGGCAGGCGATGTGTAATCCAGTATGCCTTCTACTTCAATCCTGTGGGTCCTGGAAACAAAGGATAATCTGAGCCAGGCAGAAACACAAGTCAAACCAGGTGTGAGTGCTGTTCCCCTGGGGCTTGGAGCCCAGTGCGTGAAGACAAGCATACTCATTTGAACCCCTTGGCTGTGTGCAAGCCCACACCTAGGCAAGACCTCGGAAGGGAAAGCTGTCTGGACATGATGTTCAGGAAAGAGGCCTGGGGGGAATAAAATGTGAGCTGAACGGTGGAAGGCAAGGAAAAGCCATAGGAAAGCAAGGGGACAGAGCTGGCCGCAGCTTGGCCAGCGTGCCCGCCTAGATGTAGAGGCCGGTCTATGCCTGGGCCTGAGGACCATGTGCCAAGCTTATTTAGTGTTAATCAAAAAGCAAAGGGCTGTGAGGAGTGATCAAAAGGGTCAAGAGACTCCTAAGATTAAGGGTGGCAGTTTAAGACAGGGGACCCACAAGAAGAACATGAGCAAGAGGACTGAAGATGAAACATCATCCAGCCATTCTCAATGCAGCGCACAGGATCGGGAGAACGGGCCTCCCTGGAAGACCAGTTAACACGAGCTGCTTATCACTGCAAAGCAGGAAAGTAGGATGTTTCTACCTGGGTCTGGATACCTCCTTCCCGACATATCACTCCAGCCACTGCTGTTCTGACTATCTACTGGTTTTCAAACAGCTCAAGTGTCAGAAACAAACAGGACTTTCCCTCAGTCTCCAGCCCACACCCTTTCTCTTAGGAGTCATCCTCAGCGTTGTGGCCAAATGGTTGAAATGATAGTAGGAGAAGTATATAAGGGAAATTGTAGAAGCCACTTTTGGCCAGACACTTTTTTCCTTCTGGCCATAAAATGTCCCTCGTCCAATTCAGTGTGTCCTGTAGACCATGTCTCTGTTCAGGTCTAAGTGTGTGGCTCATTATAATTCAGTGTGTCCTGTAGACCATGTCTCTATTCAGGTCTAAGTGTGTGGTTCATTATCTCAGAGGGTGACTCAACAAAAAAAGAGTTTTTTTTTTTCATCAGAGGTTAACAGCTGGAATATTGAAATCACCTGACAGTTTTAGAAGCCAGGTGCCTGTTCAGCCAGGCCCACAAAGTCACTGTTTTCATTATCAGAACTGTAGCTTGACCATTACTAGGAAAGTTCCCCCAAATTATTCTTATGTGCAGTCAATGTGGAAATTGATGTTGACCAGATTATCCTTTGCTACTGTAGTCACGGAACAATATTTTCAATAGACTCCTCAACACAGCCCAATGGAGGATCTCAAATTCCCTTATATGCCCCACATAAAAATGAATCTAGAGATTCATGGGGAACCCTCATATATTGGTCGTGAAAATATAAAATGGTGCAGTCACTTTGGAGCGAGTTTAGCAGTTTCTTTAAATATTGAATATACATTTACCATTTGACCACAACTCAGTGCTTATGTTTAGACCCAAGAAAAATGAAGACCTACATCTAGCCATAGGCTTGCATATGCATGTTCAGGAAGTGTCGCTGGTAAACTCTAGAAAGCAGCTTCAGTGGCTATGAGCATATGAACAGCTGGACAAAATGAGTGTATTATATGAATAGATGGTATAGCTACCCAATCAGATGAAATACTGCCTGGCATGTTACAGAAAGAGTTGATGAATACAACAATGTGAGGGTTCTCCAAAAAATCAAATTTTAAAAGGCAAGCATAAAGTCCACTATTCTAATTTATTAGAAATGTTCGAAAAGGCAAACATTTCTGGAGCTGGGGGAGGTGGGGTAAGGGTTCACTTCCCATTGGTGTGAGGGCTCTTCCTGAAGTACTACAAAGTCCTGAGTTAGAACAAGTGAATTATGATATCAAGTGATGTCTTAGTAAATCTTATATTTGTCTGAAGGGTGAATAGACTTGTGTGTAAATGAGGTTTGGGATGAGTACAGCCTCACACCACAGACACATGGCCTCCTGTTTCCTCAAGGATGCTTCAAGGCCATCAACTCCAGGTGTTTCCCAGAACAACAGCATCACTTGTTAGAATCACATTCTTGGCCTGCCCTAGATCAGCGGATTCAGGAACTCTGCAGGTAGAGATCTGTACTTGTCTTCCTAAAAACCCCTCTGATTCTCAAACACAGCCGCTTGTGTGCAAGATGACAATCTGTTAGCTAGCCTCTCTCCTAACACATCTGGAGGAATGGCTTAGCTTTGAGATTAAAGGGAGAGACCAGGTACTCTTCATAACAAAACAAAATCTTCAAATAGTAGGTCAAATGCACATAATAGGTAAGTGTCAAAACAACTTTTGAAATGTACACTGTGTTCAGACCACCAGTCAACAGCAAGTACAAACCTCTGGCATGAGTAACTCTTGGCACCAAGAGAAGGAGCCAAACGTAGAGGTTTTTGTTCCTATGAAACATTGGAGTGGGTAAAACTTTCCTACAAGGACAGAAAGCAAACTGTGGCTGCCAGGGATTGGAGTTTGCAGAGAGATTTACCTCTGGGAGGCAGAGAGAACTCTTACAGACTATGGAAGTAGTCTACGTTTGATGTGAGGATAGTTAATAGGGGTTTTCATTCATCAGGACTCAAAAATTATATGCTTAAAAGTGTGCTTTGCTATGTTTGTTGTATCTCAATAAAGTTGATTTGGAAAAGAAAATAAGATGGACACAAGTGACTCTTTCCATTACAGGATCTCTTTCTTTGGACTGCTTGTCCCAAGATGGGGCAGAGGAGATGGAGACCCCTAGATCTGCCTTGTATTCATGACTGTGTGACCCCAGGGTAGGATATGAGCACCCAACGATGGGTGATAATCAAATCCAGTATCTACACGTTCCCCTTAGAAATGAATTGATATTTGGTTTCCATTCATGCTATTGTTACATTTGTGTTCTCCAATCTACTCCCTCCCCAAGAGCCCTGCCTGGCCAGAGTCACCCCCAGTTCTTTCTTCACACTGGGGTATAAGCAGCTGGTCCTGACACACAAGAC